AGCTTGCGATTGACTTTGGAGAATGCTGGTTACTCCAGTAACTCTGAATCCGAATCCGATTACGAGTCAGAAGATGATGAAGAAGTCGAGATCGACGACAACAATTCATCGGGCTATCCTTCAACAACTCCCTCCAACTTTCTATCTACACCATCTGTTTCATCTGCTGGTTACTACCCCTCGAGCCCTTTCTTGCACTCGACCTCGATTTCCTCCAACATTTTGACCGACTACCTTCCATCAACTCCTATTTTACTTTCAAGATCGACCTCTTCCAATTCCGGAAATGAAGACTTGGAATGGGATCATTTTTTGACACAATTCATGGCGGCTGTAACTGAGGAAGAAAAGGGAATTGTAGTTGACCAAGTTTCTAGACGTTATCGCACAATGGAGGCCGCTTCATTGAGACTGCAGAAGGAGTCGAAAGGTTATTTGGATTCTTTGAGAGGTAAATCAATTCATTCCGATTTTTTGAAGGTGAGCTGACAACAAATGCAGCAATGACCGCTTCCCAGATGCGCATTGCTGAGACCATTGATGCTTTTTACGGTGATGCCGGCGCAAAGGATGGTGTCAGTCGCAGTTACAAACAAGCTGTAGAAGATCTCGACGCCGAGACAATTAAAGCCCTTGATGGTCCATACCGGTAAGAGTCGCACGTTTGTTTGCGCATAATGAATGAAGCTAACATTACTAGTACTACCGTCTTGGAGCCCATCTCAAGATTCTGTGCCTACTTCCCCGATATCAATGAGTGTAAGGATATTCCCTGGTTTCTTTTGATGTCTGCTAAATGATTTCTAGGTATCAAGAAGCGTAACCACAAGCTCCTCGATTACGATGCCATGCGCGCAAAGGTTAAGAAGCTCGTCGAGAAGCCAGATAAAGATGTCACCAAACTTCCTCGTGCCGAAAAGGAGACTGAAATGGCTAAGGCGGCTTACGAGCAACTCAACGACCAGCTCTTCAACGAACTTCCTCAACTCATCGACCTCCGTGTTCCTTACCTTGACCCAAGTTTCGAAGCTTTAGTCAAGATCCAACTTCGCTTCTGTGCTGAGGCTTATTCCAGAATGGCACAAGTACAACAATACTTGGATGCTGATACAAGAGAGCAATATGCGCAAGGACACCTCGATAGCAGAGTTGAGCAAGTTTTGCAAGAAATTCGCGAACTAAGCATCAGTGGAACAGTTTGAGCAGTGCGATTTCATATGGGGTTAATATCAAGGAATGTTATTTGCATGGTACTTGTGGTACTTCATGAATATATGACTGGTGTTACATGGAAGAAAGTTAGGGTTTTGACTGGCAAGCGTTGTCATTTGACTTCGATATCAAAGGAAGGCGTTTGGGAAAGTTGTATACAATTGCCAGACCCAGTTGTAAAGGACTGAGCATGTATCATCTAGGATTGGTTTTTCTGTAGACACGATAATTTTATCTTGCTGCTCGCAAGATCATAATCATCATCTTGAATCATCTATATTATTCATTGCCTGTGATGTGAAATGATAGCTGACGTTGCTACGCGTCATTCGAGGTTTGGCTAACTGCTAAATAGAGAATCATGGACCCAGCTCTATGGAATCAAGGGAGACTATCGTTTCATACCTGCTTGATTGTCATCTCATGATAGCATATCATCAGTATTTCGCGTGGACTTGCTCTTCGAAATTCTCATTTTTAATGGTTAGATGTAAATGCGTCCACTATTTTCCTGGAGGACTATCGTCCACTTGTCAACTCGACCATTAGTAGAAGACATCAAGTTGTTCCATTCTTCGAATTATATAAATATCTGTTACATGATTCGGATTATTTGAAACGATGAAATTCTGTACCGACTTCCTTGCACACACACTACCGGCATGGATTGGATACAAGCATCGCCAGGACCTCCTCATAGATCGGCAATCGCCTTTCCCCACAATTGAAACCTGGCCTAACATATCTAGGGATCCTTTGCATGTGGGATTGATATCTTTAAACGTTATCTGTTTGGGAATGCGGCGCTTGTACACTTTTTGCCTTTGAATTTTCGAATGAACATGAGAAAATGAGATGCGGTAGACTGATTGAAGATTTTTGAGGTGCGGGAGAGGGGACTAGGGTGTCGTCAGCGAAACGGATTTGCTGGGACTTGGGAGGGAGGAGAGTTCTTTGAACATGTTGGTTGGAAGGTTGGGATTCTGGGAGAAGGGGTTGATTCGTCGCTTGTATACTTCCGTGTGCTGGATTTGTTCTCTAGACGGGATGCTTGGCTTGAGAATCGCACTTCGTGGGAAGTCAAAGAGAGGAGTACGTTGCTTCCCGCATACATACATGGGGTATCCTTAGATACTAGGGATCGTGAAAGAGAATCTCCCCAATGAGGTCTACTGGTGGTTTGATCATACCACTCACTTCGAGGTGAAATCGCATTCGCGTCCTTTGGCGCGCTTTGGGATGTTGATACTGGGGATTGGAGGCTTTGGTAGGGCAGCTTGGGACGAAGGTTTGATGGCTCTTGGCGCATACGTTGACGGAGCTAGATAGGGGAGAGTGGATGGGGTAGAAAGCTATTATTGGTGTGTTGTGAGAGATAGCGTGGATTGTAGATCTGAGCTATGGGAATGAAGATGAAATGGATGGATGGGGTGGAGTAATGTATATAAGGATCCTTCTCATCGTTGTTAGCACGGTATCTGGACATCATCACTTCCATTCTACATTCCTATTGACTTTTTAGCAAATCTTCGGCAGGACCGTGTTTATTTCTTACTCTATTTTATATCTCCAACTGACTAACTATCTTCCTCTCCATCCAAATCAATCCATCCAACCCATCAAAATGCAATTCTCCACCGTCTTCCTCTCCCTCCTCGCCGCTACAGCCGTTGTAGCAAAAGGCAACTCGACCAAACCCCTCACCGACAAATCCCTCTGCAAAGAGATGAACAAGCTCGAGAAGCTCGTGGACCAAGCCCAAAACACGACCAAACTCGCCTCCAAAACCAACAACAACCAGACGACAATCGATAGTATTATGGCGAAAGCGAGCGCTGCCGCTGTGCAGCTCGATGCGATGCAGGCGAACACTACGTTGGTGTCGACTTGTGCTGTGATTGATGCGGCGCAGACGACGAAGAAGCAGTGTAATAAGATGGAAGGTATGTATTCCGTCTCTCTTCTCACTTCTATTCTCATTTCCCATCTTCATTCTCCATATATAATCCACATCTTCCATAATCTCAATCCCCATTCTCACACCCCTCAGACCTCCAAAAAACCATCGCCACCGCCGCGAAAACCAAAGGCAACGCCACAATAGAGGCAGAATACCAAGCCAAAGCCGCGAAAGCGCAAACGAAACTCGCAGAGATGACGAGCAATACTACGTTGGTAGATGCGTGCAGTGCGTTGCAGACGGAGAAGGAGGCCAAACAGGCGGATACGACGACCACAAGTGCGGCGACTAGTTCTACGGCTGCGAGTGGTGCGGCGGGATTGGTGGGTGCCAAGCTGGGAAGTTTGGTGGGTGCGGGTGTTTTGGTTGCGGTGGGGATGATTTTGTTGTAGAGGGACGGGGATGGGGGTATGGGGGCGTGGGTTTTGTCGGTGAGGGGATTAGGGGAAAGTGTTGGTATGGATATCAGAAATAAATCAGAGGTCTTGGAATCGGGAATATCCACTCCAGGAATCAACACTGGGTTGGACATTGAAGAAACATCGAGTTGGAGAAAAAGCGATATACATGCATTATGCACTCGCAGCCTCGTATGCTATAACCAACTACATTCCTTCAACGATTGAAAGTACAAGTTAGGACCAGAATAAATGAGAAATTACAAATCGGAGAAACACACAAACAAACAAGAAACACTGGGTCATCGACTAAAGCGTGACTTCATCATAACATTATCTTAGCGACGAGAATAACCGACAGAAAGGGAAATACCGATTACAACTTATCTCAGAGACCTCTACCTGACTCGAAACACATGTTCACAAGGTCAACACACCAGGTATTCATAGCCTTCAAGGCAGACTTACACTTACTATCGATCTATCCATCCATCCTCGCTCGTAAATACTTCAATCAGATGTAACGGGTGGATTCTACACACTCATGCAACTGCAAGTGCGGCTCAAAATCCCCTCATTTCAAACCAGGACCACCATCCACCCTAGCTGCAGTAGGTAATAAAATCCTGAAAGAGGACCTCCCTCAATTCAAACAGCACTCGTTATTGGATGTCAATACGCAGCACCCGTGTAATCTGCAGATTCTAACGACGATCGACATCTAACTCATCAAACACAGTGAGTGACAACTACGACCTCACGCCATACCCATCCCAACTCGGTCCCCTACACTCCCCCAGAGAGGTCACCACGTCCAAAAATAAATCACCGTGCTTCATCCATCCCATTCATATTACATATACTCCGTATACCGGTCTCTCAACCCTTAGCCGCATAATTAATTTCTCTGCCTAAAAGACCCCGTTCCGTCGTACCAATTGCTCACTGTGGTCAGAACCTTATTTTATTTGCGAACGCCCGTTAAGGCTGTGAGGAGCAAAGCATGGACCCACATGTAACCTTAAACTTTTTGTGGCTTTTTTGACGGGTTGTGATTTGCCCTTACGGGTGAGCTGAAAAGGTGTTGTCGATTTTTACAGTCTTGGGTTTGGAGGAGGAGAGTGGAGTTGGAGATGTGATGATTTGCGAGTTTTGTAGTTTCCATGATTTTATGGTATGATTTGAGGCTCAAGTCAAGAATGCCAAGCATCGGGATAGTGACGTTGAGAATCTAAACCCCAAGCTCGACAAATCGCGTGACCGATTGTGTACTTTCCCTAGGGTGTGATAAATCACAATGACATATCTCAAAGCGCAAACCCGTAATTTTCCAAGCCAAGTAAGGAAGCAAACAAGTATTGCAACCCAAGAGACGATCGACAAAAGTAGAAGTGAGAAATATGCAAGAGGGAGTGAGGCTGAAAAATGCCATGCCATGTTGTGCCATACACCTTCCCGCCCTTCGAATCACGAGGGAGGCAGGTAGGTGCGAAGGGATACATATTTGAGCAACCGATTTTCCATTCAAATGTGAAATTTTTGTACATCACTTCAAGCTCGTGTATTCTGTCGCTGCTACACCGATATTCTTATTCGTACATTTTAAATTCGAACATTGTACCACGAGGAGCCTTCGAGGTGAATTGAGCATATCGAGAAGTTTCCACAATGACTGTCGCGAATAAAACTCATATTCCTGGTGCGAGGGGTGCTTTATTTGGACTTCGCATTGCACAATTGGTCCTTGCTGTTATTATACTTGCTCTTTCGTCGTATGGAGTTTATTGGCTTGTATATGATGGAGATGCACTTACATTGGCTTCGGTAAGCTTTAGTTATCTCCCTATTCACTCATGTTTAAGACTAACCGTGAGTGATCTTCAGGCCGCTATCTCGATTGTTATTTGTGTCTATGTGATAGTAGCAAGCACGGGCGCACCTGTCCTGTATAACTACTGGGCTATACTCGGACTGGATATTATCGCCGTGATACTTTGGGTCGTATCGTTCCCGATTCTCGCCTCGCAAATCGCAAATGCCATTACTGTCGATTATTCTTGCGACTCATATTACTCTTGTTACTACTACAAACATAAACGTGGATTGGGTCTTGAGAAGCGTGCAGAGACTACTTGGGAGACATACAAGGGTGTGATGATTGCAACATCTGCGTTGGGTGGTCTCGAGTTGTAAGTGTTAAACAGATTCACCCCGTGAACAATTATTAATCACATTTAGTGTACTTTTTTCGATTACCCTCATCATTCTCGGGATTAATCTCCACCGCCATCGTAGTGCTGGAGGCCATTGTCAACCTGGTGCTGCAGCTCCCAGACAGGTAGATTTTGAGGAAAAGCAACAACGTAATGTCACTGCACCTGCGGAGCCAAGTCAACCTGAGGTTTATAATCCACCAGTAACCCACCACTAGATGTACCCAGGACCCTGGTATACTCTGAGAGAGATGGAGACAAAGGAAAGAGAGTCAGGACTAGAAGATGATGGATACGTTGAAATACGGTGTTCTGATCAAGATGTTTGATGATACCCGAATATTTCTTTCGTGTGTGTAGTGTTTTGAACGAGTAGGAATAATAAGATTGTACTAGAACTAGAGGATAAGAATTGAGAATTGTACGAAGCTTTTAATACGATATCGCCTGTTCCACATCGATCAACTTGAATCTGAGTGACACGAAATACTAGAAAGTTTCGAGAGTAACTTTAAGCTTAGATTTAGTTTCCGAAGAGCCTTAGGAGATTCTAAATTCCCATACAATCAATGATCCAGAATCATTAGTCCTTCACTAAAAAAGCTAGATTCCGCAACCACACAAAGGAAAACACAGGAAACTATTCTTATCCTTCGAGAGTCCAAAGAGATGATATAAATACTAATACCACTAGGTACCTCAATAACATCACGATGAGAAAATCGAATTCTTTCATCACAGCAAAACAACTTTTCCCCATCTGACTGCCAAGTTCCGTGGCAGATCAAGATGATGTCTAGCTAGGTATTAGCTGACAATTAGACCGTGACTCGAAGTATGACCTACTTCGTAAAAAGTTCGGTGATGACTCAGATCATTTAGAATCCTAGAACTGATAAGTGGTGGCTAGACATAGTAATTAGTGTATGAAAAATGATGTATTAATAAACTAGAATCAATTCGAGAACTATTAACCTACAATAGTCTTATATATATAATCCTCTTCTACCTGTAAAAGCAAATGCAAGAAGAAATCGCCGAAAAATAAGTTCTTATCCAAGGAGACAACAAATTCGAAGATTGTTATTGCTGAAAGAATCACCATATCTACTAAAACCCCTGTTCAAATGACGCAGCCAAATCGCGTCCGCGCGCAAAAAAAGTTATCAACGATTGAGGGGGGAAAAGATTTAGATTCGAGTACGGAATCACAACCAGAACCACAACTACAATCGCGTTCACAATTACAATTACCAACCCCCCCATCCTCCTCCACCCCCACACCCTCACGCTCACCATCTCCCTCCACCCAAACCCGAACTCCCACCCCAACCCGCAAACAAAAACGGCGCGCCCTCCTCGCCGGATCTCTCGCCCTCTCACTCCACACCTCCAGTTTCCCAATTCCCGCCCCCGAAAGCGATGGTCCCAGCCTGACAACCAACCCTATCTCACCACACCATCTAAACCTCCCAACTCCCAACCTCCCACCCACAATGTCCGCCCCCACCCGTCTCCTCATCTGTTCCATTGGCAACCCCGCCCCCTACACCAACACTCTCCACTCCGCCGGACACACCATCCTCACTCTCCTCGCCCCCTCGCTCTCCAATCCCCCCTTTCAAAAATCTCGCTCCTATGGAAACGGTCTTCTTTCCCCCGGATTTACCTACACGTTGTGGAAATCCAGCTCCTTGATGAACGTTTCCGGGGTGGGTGTTACATCCGCCTGGACGAGCTTCCAGCGGGAATCTTCTTCTGCGGAGTGCAAACTTGTTGTGATCCACGATGAGCTGGAATTACCAGCCGGAAGAATAAATGTGAAGCCGGGGAGTAATAGTCCGAAGGGTCATAATGGGTTGAAGAGTATTCGGGATACGTTGCGGGGACAGCCTTATACGCGGATTGGGATAGGCATCGGGAGACCAGAGAGTAGGGATGCGGGAGTTGTGGCAAATTATGTGTTGAGGAAGATGAGTGCTGAGGAGAAGAGGAAAATTGAGGGATGTGTGGGAAAGGTCCTTGAGGAGCTGGCGAGGTTGAGTGGAGAGTAGATAGGTTAGAGATTGTTTAAATGGCACTATATGGAATGATTGAGAGGGAATGGTATATTAAAAGTATTCATCCGAATTTAGTTCGGTATAACAATACTTTACGGCATGGGATATTTGGACACGAGATATGGGACGGGAATGGGCTGGTTGCGCTGAACATATTATCCATTGGATCTTGTACATTTCTTGTAACAAAAGAGAAACGCCCGCTGATGCATATGATACCCCTAATAGACTAGATATAGAAAAATAGGAAAAGGAGAACAATTTTCATGGGCTTTTAAAATCTACCTTTTACCAAAATGAAATGACAAACGAAATAAACTAAGCTACTCGAGCCTCGCTGTTCTTCCCTAAAGTGCTTGGGCTCTCTGGTGATTCATCATCGCTCATCAATCCTTCCAATTCAAACTCTTCTGCATCACGAATCTGCCTTGAATCTGTATGAACATGACCATTCATCCGTGGAAGACGAGCTGGAGCTCCTTCTCCATCCTTGGGAGGCACTGGAGGTGCGCTGGTGTTGACTGCATAGATATGAACCAACATATTGGTTAATAAGAATATGAGGAAGGCGAAACTGTATAATACAAGGACGTAAGATACGTGGGTGATTCCTGCGTCGGAGATAAGTTTCATTTGTTCTTCGGTAGCTCCCATGAACAAGAAACCAGATGCGTAAAGTAACTGTCATGATTAGCCTAAAGTCTTCGTATTCTAGAGATAGAACTTACAAATGGTGGAACGTATTGGAAACTGTTAGCATCACCGTCCTCGGAGAAGGTAGCCCTATCTTTCAAGAGGAAAGCAATTTCAATGATTCTTGAAAGTCCGGCGGCCATTAAAGTATATCCAAAAACACTGTGGACCATGGTACTGAGTGGGAGATGCTGTGGGTGGCCAGACATAGCCCACCCAGTGATGAAAATGACAAATCCAGGAATGAAGTTTCTCTTTGGCGAACCATCTCTCTTTCTGCTCAACCAGACTCCTGCCAAACCAGCAGTCCACCAAATTACTCCCATGGTAGTGTGTTGGATATCATTTGCGACCCAAGCGCCACCCCATCTGTGTTCGGTGAAAGTATTGACACAACCCCAAGCTGCGATAACTGCCGAGTCGAAGAATTCTTGGGATCGTCCGGTTTTTCTCAACCAAACTTGTCCAACCAGCATGACAATCGTGAGTAAGATACCATAACCGATGAATGCACTACCCATGATAAAATGTGCGAGACATTGACCAAGATGATCATCACGACAGAAACCCAAAGCTGCGATTCCACCGAAAAGCATTTGTACCCAAGCCACAACTGGCATTGCCTTTCCAACAATTCCATGACCATGAACCGCGACCTTTCGAATCTTTCCGTGGAAACCTTTCGTGATATGAAATTTGAGGTAGATGCCGAATACAACTTGAACGGCAAGCATAAGCATCAGAATGTTGGCGAACGCTGAGTGAACATTTTTCGCAAAGACTCGTCCTCCATGGAGATGCCCCAAGAAATATCCCGCCACTGCGATAACTGTTCCTAATATCTGTACAGGTACATGCCATCTATTTCGCACAATCTGAGAATACTGTTAGCATACCACGATGTTGACCCTTATCTTTGTTACATACTCCAAGAACCATTCCGGTCGGAAAGATAATGCCAAAGGCAAACATCTGCAGCAAGATATGAACCCATAATATCGAATCCTACATAATCACAATTGTTAGCATCGCTCCAGCATCTTCCGAAAGATTGTGATAAACTTACAATAGGTTCAATACTCATAGCATCTCCATCTTGAACCTTCGACATATCTCCTCCGTGTGCGTTCGTTCCTTGTGCAAATAGAGCGATTCCAGAACCGGCCACGAAGGCAAGACGACCACCGTTCATGATGGACATATTTGCACCAGCGTTAATAGCTAACGGGCGGGCCCGTGTATTGTCTGAGTGTATAGAGTTGTGGCAAGATGAGCCAGATTTCTATTGCAATAGTTGTTTCGAAACGCGCCGATAGGTCCGAGAGTGTGAGTAGATGCGGCTGCTTATCTCAAAGACAATGAAGTGTTGAGATGATAGGTGACAGTCAAATCATGCGACGAGAATGAAGTGTTGAGATGATAGGTGACAGTCAAATCATGCGACGAGAATGAAAGAAAAAGAAAAAGAAAAACGAAAAAGGAGCTAATTAGATTGAAACTTCTTTTCACTCGTAAATGTATATAGATCCGAGATAGATGGTACCGTCGGTAGTTTTCAAATCTATATTTCTAATTCCACGATATTAAATTTAGGCTTCGTAACCAATTCGCATCTCGCTGATCATACGATGAGTTTAATTGGTGCGGGTGCTTCGGCTCGTTCATTCAAGATCACGTGAAGAGAATGCACAGCCACAAGTTGTAGACTTTCCCCCTTTTATCAAGACATCACCCCTCTCGTCTATGTGAGTGCAGATCAGTCAGAGTACGGAGTAGTTACTTATCTCGCATGAAAGAATGCGATGGTATTGCTGAGGTATGCAGATGCCCTCAATCTATCAAAATATTTACTCCTAGGGTCACGTAGGGCTCTTTGGCATACCTATATCGGTACACTAATGAACAAGGTAATAAACATACACAGCAAGGAAGCTTACGCAATCATTAGCGGGACATCACGTTCATTCTACGAAGTCTACAATTGTTCGCAGCCACCTCACACAGGCGATGGGAACGTTGGAACATGTTGCAATCGCAATATTAGCCATAAATTTCAACTATGCCCTTTCCTCCTCCAACGGCTTGAAGCCATCAGGCTTTCCTGAAATCTTCTTGGAGACTTTCGATCTCTTTCCAGTCATCCTCATTTGACAGTATCTTGTATTTGCACTCATGTCTGGGAGATGGCATGTGGCACAACAGCAATCGCGGCATCGGTCTCGCTGTAAATATCATCATCTTCAATGTGATCAGAATCTGGTCTAGGATTACAATACAGATGGATAATCTCGTTGTCGCCAGCTTCAATTTAAGAGAATGAGGACATTCAAATGGTGTTGTCATGACCCGAGATCTAAAGAGCTAATGGCATCTACACTAATCGTTAAATAGCTAGCGTAAGGCATAGCAAGCATTCTTATTGGTCATCACATGATTCTTTCCTCATCGTACATGCCTCCCTGGGTAATATCTAACTAGGTGTGGGTTAAGTATCAAAATGAGCATCATCGTTATTTACCCAGTACCTATCAAAGCAAGAACAAATCATGATATTAAAACTCTTTGGGAAGCAACTTCCAAATAAAAACTTTAGTTCATCTTCTGACACGATTTCTTTCTCGGCTGAAGATTGTTCAACAATCACTCAAAGCCAAAACCAAAACCAAGGTTCTTCATATCACATCAAAGAATTGACCAAATATCCAAGCTCGAACATTCATTCTTGACCATGGCAGCCGCAAGTACTGGTACTGGGCAACCAACTAGTATTGCAACTAAACTTTTCTCAACCCAAGAAAATGTCAGCCTAATCGGTATACCACAGCTAGGATTTGGAGTCTACCAATGCAAAGGACAAAAATGTATCGACGCTGTCACCGCCGCATTGAGAGCTGGTTACAGGCACATTGATACTGCTCAGTAAGAGTCCATTCAGATTATCCCTAGCTTGGCGACTACTAGAAGTCTCTAACAGCTATTATAGATACTATGACAACGAAAAGGAAGTTGGTATCGCCGTCGCAGACTTTATGAAAAAAACCGGCATAGAACGCAAGGAGATATTCATCACAACCAAGATCCTCACACCTGGTGGATCAGTTGAAAAATCTTTTGAGAAATGTCTGAAGAGTATTGAAGCTCTTGACGCTGAGAACTGTTACGTTGATTTGTTCCTGATCCACAGCCCAAACTGTGGAGCTGAAGGCCGTTTGGAGATGTGGGATGCCCTCCACAAGCTCTACAGTCTTGGAAAATCCCACATGATTGGAGTTTCGAACTTTGGCATTGGACATATCGAGGAGTTGGAACTTGCCAGGCCTTTTATTTCTCCTCACGTGAATCAGATAGAGGTTTGTGTTTTCAAAGTGGAATATTTGCTGCAATTCTAACGATCTTAGTTGCACCCTTTTTGCCAACAGCGAGTTATAGTTCAATACTGTAAGATCAACGGCATTCATGTTGAAGCTTACTGTCCAGTGGTCAGAAATCAGAGGAGCAATGATCCGGTTCTTCAATCGATCGCAGCCACTCACAATAAAACCGTTGCTCAGGTATTGATACGATATGCTTTGCAAAAAAAATGGATCCCTCTTCCAAAGAGTGAAACTCCATCGAGAATCGCCGAAAACGCCGATGTTTTCGACTTTAACATCTCTGAATCGGATATGCGTCGTTTGGATGCACTGGATGAAGGCAGCGAAGGCTCCATTGTTCAAGCTGTCACAAACAGATGAGGATATTCAGATTACGGTTCATCAGCCGGATAGAATGAATCTGGCGGATAACTTACACTTTGTGACTTTGAGTTCATGCATCCAATGGGGTTTTCAGATATATATTATGCAAAACAACACAGATCAGGAGAATGATTCGCGGAGTTGAACTTCAGGGGACATTCTCAAAAGGCAACTTCTAAGATATGTATTATACCAACGCATTAGTTAGCAAGTTTAAATTCCGAAAATTCAAAGATTCACTTGCTCTTTTTATATTGCTTTACAACGGTCTAATTAATTGTTATGCATCCCACAATTGAAGCAGCCGCAGCGTATGTGGATTTGTTGGTTGTGATCCTACCTACGGCCTAAGCGCCGAACGAACGACGATGACTAGTAATTCTCGGCCACCAACTTCCATTACCAACTGATACAAACCATTTTGATATTCTCTTGTATTTCTTGAAATAAATTTCCCTTGATTCGCAAAGTTTGTTGATTTAAAAAGCGCTTTCGATGTACTTTTTCACACCGGGAATAAGTACAAGAAATTTACATGTCCATGAAATCTCAAAATCTCCACACATCTTTCCTATGTGCTTCTCATTAGTACAATTGGTCAAGGATCAGTACCAGGACACCGGTGCATCTATTCCCTGACCGACCTGAATCTCAGACCTTGCTTACCTAGATAGTTGTGTCCAACGTTGGTAAGTCATAGTCACTATACAAGCAGCAATTCATCTCAATAATTGTATCATATACTTAACTTCATACTCTCCATTCCATTCCCTTTACCTCAAACCCGAGCGTTTAGACTCATTTCCAAGTCAGATTGTAAAAATTAATAATGTTTCATAGTAGCAAATCCTCGAAAGTTACTCTGCACAAGAAACTCTTTGCACCGGTGTCGATTACTAGTGCTCTGGGATCTGGCTCTTCGACAGAACCTAAAGCAACGATACCGGTTTTGTTACCAGCGGAATCCTTATTAGAGACAGAAGTGCAATCGGAAGTACAAATAGAAACACAGGAACAAGATATTGTATCTGTGTCATTAAATCCCGTTCTTCAATAACAGAATCTGATTCAGCTTTGCCTTCTGCTGCAATCCCAACCCTGGTTCCTAATACTCATTCAACTATAGATACTGTAGAATCGCAGGATACTCAAGCGGAACACAAAGTTGTTGCAAACAGTATCCAGGTTCTACCTCCTAGTCCTCCTCGATCTCCCTTTTATCCTTCCTCCTCATCTCACCAATCCTCACACCAATCCTCAACCCACAGACGAAACATGTCTTCAACCTCCACCACAACCACACAGTTCGGCTCTCCACCCCCTTCCTACACACCTTTCGTTACAAATTCTCTCCCTCCTCAAGCCTATCCATATCACGTGCAGAACCAATACGTCCAAGCAAACGGGTATCGATACCCGAATGGAAATATGTATAGCAATGGATTTTCAGCAGGTAATCAACATGTAAATGCGCCTCTGAATCATCAACTTATTCATAGAACGGGCTTTGCATCTCCGTCCCCTTCTCCGTCTCCGGGTTTGCAACTTCCTGATCTGGTTGATGAGGTGTTGAGATTGAGAGATCGGTTGAATTTGTTGGAGGGAGGTGCTTTGGCTATACCGGGTGAGAGGGGTAGGAGTACGGGAAGAGAAAGGGATAGAAGAGGGGATGTTGAAAATGATGAGGAAAGAAAAGACAAGAAAGCGAAAGAGGTAGAAAGGGAGACTAGAGAAGCGAAAGAGAGATGGGAAGAAATCGAGAGGTGCGGATTGGGATATGAAGATTTTTTGGACGAGTTCTTTGGTAATGATTATAGTGATTGGAAGATTGAAAAGTTTAATTTTGAGGAGGAGATTGAGGGGCGTCTGCAGATGGAATTGGGAGGAGTGAAATTGGTGGATGAGGTTTGTGATGAGGAAGAGAAGAGTGGAGATGAATACGAAGACGAAGAGGAGGAGGAGGGGAAAGAAGAAGAGGAGGAAGAGGAGGAGACTGACAGTGAGGAGGATGAAGATAACGAAAGTGAAAGTGAAGAAGAGAGTTCCAAAGAACAGAGTGCAGAAGAAGAGAACACCCCCAAACCCGAAGACACAATAACCCTCCTCCCATCCGTGTTCGTAGACGAACGAACGAAATCTCGTTTACACCCCTCATACTCATCTTCCTCATCGACATTCTCTGCATATTTTCCCCGCTCTTCCGCTCCCTCACCTCCACGATACAATCAACAGAAGTTTCGAGAAATTCCTCTAAAATCCACACCAGTAGCCCCAAATCCTCCTCGGATTATTCAGAGACAGCCGGATCCATTACTTCCGGAATTCGGCTGTCATTACTTCGTAGACGCTGGTTCGATCCAGAATATAACGGTTATATATCCTGTTACTTCTCTGCCACAGAGTATGGATGATTTGGAAGAGGAGAAGGAGGTTATTAGATGTGTGTTGGAGGGATGGAACAGAGGGAATATTGTAAGTCCTTTTCCAAATTCCCACTTCATGTTTTCCTTGTGGACTTGGGATTTTATGTGTAATTCCTGTCGTGCCCACTACTTGTCTTGCACCAACACCATCAAGAGCACAATTAAAACGAAGGCTAACATGATGTTCTACTAGGATAAATATGGGCATCGTCCATCAAAAAAAGCATACGCTGCTATTATCTAGTATGTTGATCCCTTCTCCTCGATCAAACACAAACTAACGTCCCCCAGCCCCGATCCACAAGCCCCCCTCCCACGCAAAAAATTACGCGTAGCACTTTCCTTCACCCCTATATATCCCCCCACCCCATCTTCCATATCCTCCGTTCCCACAACCCAAACTCCTACAAATCCAGAAGATATAACGACAGATACGTCTATCTACATCAGCACTACGAATGGATGTACTTCCTTTTCACTGAGTAATAATAATGGAGTTATGGATCATACGAAATATAAAGTGAAATATGGCAATCTAGATGTGCATGAGAGACACGATGGGATTTTGGAGGTGGGGAGGTTGAGGGGAGCATTGGGGTGCGAAGTATTTGGGAAGAAAGGCGGAGAGGGAAGAGAGGGAAAGGGAGATGAGAGGGGAGAGGGGGACGGCACAGAAAACAAGATAGGAGACGAGGAAGAGTATTGGGAAAACGAAGAGATAGAAGACGAGTGGAAAGATGATAGTCACGACGTAGGATGGGGAGATGATAAGAAAGGCTATGAGTTAGGATTAGAGAATGGGAAAGAGATAGAAGGGGGTTGGATTTGAAGCAACTGAGCCTCACCACCAACCCTATTCTCCTTCTATCCCTGCACAACGTTCCCTGTCCTTTTAGAAGGAGGCAAAAAAACAAAAAAAAAACAAACATACAACAGTGGGGATTCGCTGGTGGTCACCCACCCAACTACTAATCCACCGATCTGAAGCTTGTGTATGGCAGAGCGGACGGGATGCCCAATTCTCTTCAGTCTATGGTCGTATGTGGGAGACGACAGCTCAGCTGGTATTATATTGGAGAGTTGAGACGAGAGAATGAAGGACGAGATATTGGTGGGATCACGTTGAGAGGGGGGAGAATGGGGTTGAATGTTTTCTGTGGTGATGGAATTAGATATTTTCGGAGCAAATACAGAGTCAGATACAGTAAACGATAAAGGGGAATAGATAAGAAGATGTAATGTTGAAGGTTGCCAATCGCTCCACTTGAGCGAGACGTCCCAGTCCCATTGAATCCGGGTTCTGTACCCGCCACACATTTTCTTAAGTTAAAAACCTTGAAAATCCACATGTCGTTGCCCCCAATGTAGTCAACAAGAGCTTTGAGCCATAACTGGACGTGCATCTTGTATGCTATGGGGCAACAGTCAAAGCCTAAGTATGGCGTCCCTCCTTGAAGAGGACACCATAAAATCGAGCTTTCGAATCCTTCGAGACATTTCTTCTGAATTATGCATAACCCTAAAATCCCTAACTATTCTCCTTCTTTCCTTCAGGTTCCCGTCTGTCAAGAATTTCATCGACAATCCCCATCTCCAACGCCTCCTGCGCACTCAAAAACTTGTCTCTCTCCATCATCTTCTCAATCTCTTCCAGGCTATGTTCCTTCGTCAAATGCCTCTTGTAGATCTCATTCAAGCTCTTTCTAACCCTCAGAATCTCCGTCGCATGAATCGCAATATCCGTAGCTTGACCCGAATATCCTCCACTAGGTTGATGTATCATAATCGAACTATGCGGTAAACAGAATCTTTTTCCTGGTTCTCCTCCGCACAGAAGAAGCGAACCCATGGATGCGGCTTGACCGACGCAGACAGTGGAAACGGGCGATTTGATATAAGTCATTGTGTCGTAGATAGCGAGACCGGCGGTGACGGATCCGCCTGGGGAGTTTATGTACAGAGTGATGGCTTTTTCTGGGGCGTCGGATTCGAGGTAAAGGAGTTGGGCTACAACGGCCGCCGAAAGAGATGAATTTACCTCGCCATTTAGACAAATAATTCGCTCCTATTCTTTATCAGTAACGTATCCTATCAACAAAGATCAAAGCATCAGCACGAGGGAAACACACTTGTAAAAGCTTAGAAAATATATCCGCTGATCCTCTTGTCGTCAGTATTTTATAATTTCCAAACTAAATCCGTCGTAAATATACATACAAGTACGCCATCCACCTCCCTATCTCATTAGCACACATTCGCAAATTTATAGGGTTCTATATCCTGCTCACAATCGTCTCTGTGATGTATGGTACGGGTGTCCATGATTTATTTGGTTCGGATTGCGATGGTAAAGAAGAAATAGATCTAATTCCTGCGAAGACAGCCTTGCGCGCTGCATGCGATCGGAATACCCGTGTTGCGAGCATCTTGAAGTACGATTGATGATGTGACGTCTGTAGGAGTAGTGGGGGTGATGTACCTAGATAGTGAAGCTTGGTTGGGAGACGCGATTGTCGCGTTTTCGCTTGAGCTTTGATTGATTGATTTTGACGAACATCTTTAATTTATACCCCTCCAATTTTTTGGGTTTGTTGACGACAGTGATATGTGGTATGAAGGGATGCAGAATATTTCATGGCAGAAGTGCTGGAAGGTACTTGAAATATTCTAATTCGAATTATTCTACATCGGCTTCAACATCAATTGCGAACGCCAAAAACTTCAAAAATATTACTTCTAGCTCTGCGGCCAAAGATGATTCGAGTCAGGGAGACAATGCTGATGGCATTCAAACTACGACTGTAGACGGAGGAGAAGGGCGAAAGAATGCATATGAGAAAGGAACCAAGCGACGAGAGTTACCTCTTTCACCACTCATGGATCCCTTATTTCAAGAAGCCCGAACCAAGCATTCAGCTCCCAAGCCGCAACCGAAGAAAGAAGGCCGAACAGCTTTCCAAGAGCAACTTGCCAAAAATCCTTATGGTATTATTGCTTTTAATTCTCTATAGTGCTCAGTACTAACACGCCCTCAGCTCTCGCCCTCGCAACTCCCGTCCGTCAATGTACCGCAACACAACTCTCGCTCCCTAGTTTCTTTCTCCAAGACTTCACAATAATGGCACATCCCACCACATCTGCTCCCTGGCACGTTCCTCGAAGTCTCTCTCCCCATATATCTAAAGTCGAATCCTCCGAGCAAGACACTTTTCACACCCCCTCACTAGGATCCACCACCTACGTAGCCATGCGCCAACCCCTCCTTCAGTCCTTTTTCAAGACAAAATCTGGATACACGGGGGTATACAAAAAATTTGGACTCATGCAGGCGAAGAGTACAGCGAGGAAACATGTTGTGCTACAAGCGACTTGGAGACCGGATATGGATACCTTTTTACTGGAATTCATGAGGAGGAGGACGGCGGAATTGTTGGAGTATTTGTGTGGGAAGAAGAGTTACATACACAAATGTGCGAATTGGAAAGAAGTGGAATTTAGTGAACAGACTGGCTGTATTTTGTGGATGGGACAGAAGCTTGCTTCGAGGGAAGAAGGTGAGCAGGGACGGGAACAAGAGCAAGAGCAAGAGCAAGAAGTTCCTCCTGGAGAATTCGAAACTAAAAGGATCGGACCTGGAGGAAGGAAAGTTGTACCTGTGTTTAATTTGAGGACAATGATGGGTAAACAGTGGATTGAGAAGATCAGAGAGGGGAACCATATATTTGGCAATCAGATCTTGGTTGTCAAACATAAGAATGCGACTAAAGAGATACAGATGAAACTATGGAAGTTGCAGGGTTATGTTGCTACGTATGGAGGGATGCCGGACGGAGATGTAAAAATGCCTACGAAGGCTACGCAGTCGACGAGGATCAGCACCAGGTCGACAAATATCGCCGACTCCGAACCTAGGAAAATCTCTAAAGTTCTACGTTAAACCTGAAAGGGCCTGAGAGGCGAAAATAAATATATCAAATTAGATTATAACCATGGCGTAATATCGTAACGACTTTCCTAACATCCCAAAAAACGCCATTATATCTCCGTTAAAGTGTCGTAGATCACAACTTCGATTGCCCCGCTTTAGTAGTATCCTCATCACATCTAGCCAAAATCCAATCCCCAACGTCCTTAGCGAAAACCTCGCGGTTATCAGGCAGATCCGCGTGCAATTGATGGAACCATCCCTCATATCTCTTGAACTCCTTGTCCTTCAAACTCGTCTGCTCCTTGAACCACTTCTCACTTCCCTCAAAACTCGTCCCTTTATCCTCTGTCCCATGCCCTAACCACAAGCTTTTGACCCCAGGATTTAACTTCGTCTTTCCCTGGTTCATCGCAGCAGTTCTATCCAACATACCAGCTAATCCCTCTAGTGTTCCCGTGTTGTGCATCAGCGTATCCTCATTGATCGACTTGATAACCTCGGGATCTCTGGTAAGATTCTCAGGTGGAAGTTTATTCACCATTTGTTTATGTGGTAGGAACTTGCCCGCCAATCGTCCGAAAAATACGGTAAGAAAACTCGGTTCAAAGCCCTTTGGAAAGGCAATGAAAGGACTCTCCAAAATAAAGCCTCGGATGCTATTCATCAATTCCGCATATTGTGGATCACTAGCCAACGTAATAACCTCACCACCACCCATCGAATGGCCCATTAAAAAGACTGGAACTGGAGAAGGCAATTGTGTCTTGATAAACGAAACGATGTCAGAGATGACCAGAGAAGTTGGACCCGTGAGACCTTTTTCGGAGGGCTTGGTGACGCTACGTCCCCATCCTCTTTGATCGAAAGCGTGTACTTCAATTCCGCGTGAGGCGAGTGTGGGGAATAGGATATAGTAACGATTTATGTGGTCGGAGAAACCATGGATGAAAATCAGTTTGGCTACAGGAGGAGCATTAGGCTGGAGGTTAAGTTAGTTTGTATTGAGAATGAGCTGAGGAAGGGAGGGGTCAACGGACTTTCCAGGTTTTGGTATAGAGGGATTGAGAACCAATCTTATGAGTTCCTTCAATTTCTGTATACATCTTCGAATGAGGACTTGAGGTGTCAATTTCAAAGGTAGATTCGAATCAATTTATTGATATGTTGTTGAGATGATGTGAAGCAAGATGAAAGACACCTTCGGCTTTCAGGTGGTAGCTAGCTGAGACCCTTGTAAACAATGCGGCCGCTAGCGTAGACTCAGAAGGTTGCATGTGAAAAGCGGGAGCCATCGATATCAAAATCTTTAAAATCAAACATCAAATTACTTTTAAAAATCACGATGTTGACAACTCAGCGTACCATATCCTCTGGTACTAAGAGAATAAGTCCCTACAAAGCAATATGCTCACCATGTAGTCATCGGTCTTTCACTCAAAGATTAGTCAGAGGTAGGAAAAATATCTTTTATTTCCAGTTTTCACAACTTTACTGATTTTTTCGATTTTTTCGAAAAGCCAATGACGTTGTTCTATTGAAGCCGGAAACGAATCCAAGGGCTTTACCTACTTTGTCAAAGCCTCTACATCCAGGTGATCTTCTTGTATTCAGGGATCACAGAAAAGTCAAGGCAGATGACGTTATTGGAAAACCATACAGGTCTGTAGTGGCAGGTGGTAGAAGAGCATTATTTCGCATATATGAACCTACTCTTGGTGAATACTGTGATAATGCTCCAAGGATTGTGACACCTGTAGGTTCTTTTGTTTGGAAATTTATGATGCAATGGCTAATTTGATAGATCTATTCTTCAGATGCAAGCTTGATTGTTTCTTTACTGGACCTCAATTTTGCGACAGTACCATCTAGTCAATATAAAAATGCTATAGGGAGTGAGAATTTGTGTCTCTATAGGCCACTTAACGAACCTGTTGTTTCGCAAGATGAAGATGATTGGAAGCCGGCAACGTCTCCTGAGAGCAAAAATCTGGATTCTACAGATATTCCAGGGAGTTCCTTAATCTCTTCCAACAGTTCATCCTTCTCTAGAGAGCCGACGGAACTTACAGACGCAAAAGAATTCGGATATTTGGATTTCGTGGAACAAAGCAATGAAACACTGGAGATTTTCGAGGCTGGTACCGGTGCCGGCTCATTGACTTTGCATCTTGCTCGAGCGATCCACGGAGCGAACACAAGGGCTCCACCAATACCGAGACATCTTAAGACAGGGGGCAAGGTTACCCCAGATGACGATATCTACCGAATCGGAGGCAAGTTTAACAAGAGAGATGAGAAATTTACTGATTTATACAATGAATGGCGTTCACAGCGACGAGCTGTGATTCATAGCTTAGATGCGGATGAACACCACTCGAGACATGCACAAAGAACTGTAAGAAATTACCGTCATGGAATTTATTTCCCCCACATCGATTTTCATGTTGGTAGTATTCATGATTACCTTTCAAAACGTTTGGAAGAGACTAAAGGTGTCTTCCTCGATCACGCCATCTTAGATATACCCGGTATACAAGACGAAATGGAAATCGTGGGAAAATGCATCAAACCTGATGGGCGTTTAATCACATGGTGCCCTAGTATCACACAGCATATGAAGTGTCTGGAAGTTGTGAAAGGGAAGAAATTGCCTTTGGTGTTGGATCGGGTGTTAGAACTGGGATCGCAACTTAGTACAGGAGGGCGAGAATGGGAAGTGAGATCAGTAAAGCCTCGAGCATTGATCAAAGCCGAGAAGAAAGCCAAAGCTGAGGAAATGGAGAGAGAGGACAGACCCAAAACTGCCTTTCCCGTTGAGGAGTGGCTCACTAAGATTTCAAGCAGAGAGGTGGATGAGGTGCCCAGTGAAGATGTAGAAACATCTGAGTCTGAAAGTGTCACTGTTCAAGAAAGTACAGGAGAAGCTAGCGATCTCACTGATATGTCAGGATGGGAAATGATATGTAGACCTAAAGTTGGAGATAGAATAACGGGTGGAGGATTTGTTGGAGTCTGGAAGAAGATGGATATGGATGTTTGACAAACTTTGTAATATGTAACTCCTCTGTATCCATGTATCAAGATATAGGTATGTATATATAAAAACCAAAAATTCAATACAACAAATCTCGTTTCACTATCATTGTGGAACAGCCGCTCCCGCTTCCCATGCATTCGTCTCGTGTTAAGGAAATTTATTGAGTTTGTCAGGTTAAGGGTACGGGACACTAACGACTAATTAGGATTAGCGTTGCTTATACCCCAGATCTTCAAAGAACTTACCCATGAATAGACCAACGATGCAATCATCAAAGTCTCCCTTGATTTTTTTTCTATCCGCTTCCCCCTTTTTTGTTTATTATAGTGTGAGTCTTGCAATTGGAAGACCTACCAATCGAGATTGAAATGACCTATCAATAACTTCACGGATGGGACACCTAAATCATTCCATCAAGACAAGCTTACCGAACTGCGTGAGCTAGAAGCCGTTTGCGCATAGGTCAATAGAACCACAGCTTGTTAAGATGACGAGAAGAATCGTAGGTATACCTTCTAAAGTTTTTATATCTCCTACTCATCTTACTCCAAACAGGTTCGCACAGCGACGCAACTCGGTGCGCTTGCTCTATTTACCATAATCATTCTGTGGTTCCTGGACAATCGATACCGAGTTCTACCTTCTGCGCTTCATGATTATATGCCAGCACATCATCCGGGCCTAGTGATCACAGATATAACTGTCACGAAATGCTCGAAAATCAATCTTTTCACAAGCTGCAAGCTGGATTCGGACAAATGGCATCGTATCGAGAAGGACTTGTATTTGGGACAGGGTTGGGTGAATAGCGCTTATATGCATGTGCAAAGGAAGAAAGAAGAGGAACTTACATCGGAAGACAAGGTTGTTATGGATGTTAGTGTTGGGAGGCTGGATCCAGCGACTGCGACGAAAGGCGAGGGCGATGAGAGATGGGAATCAAGACCTGCTGGATTATGGCTGAAACGATCTGCAAAGCGCCACGCGAGTGATTCGAATAAGGCAGTTACTTCTGTTGATGTGTTATTTGGAGCAGATGCTGTGGATCCAAGAGATGGATGGGAAATGACCGGCACACCATTATTGTTGGATTCTTCCGGGGAGGTCCAAGAGGCCAGACTTAGCATACGAAGAGGCAAGCTCATAATGCCAACCAAACCAACGCCTCGTATAAGGGATAATGGGAAATTCAAGATCCTACAAGCAGCGGATTTGCATCTGAGTACAGGGACTGGACATTGTAGAGATGCAATGCCTGAAGATGGTGGTAAATGTGAAGCTGATCCTAGAACGTTGGAATTCGTTGGAAGATTACTTGATGAAGAAAAGCCCGATTTGATTATTCTTAGTGGTGACCAAATTAATGGAGAGACGGCACCGGATGCACAGAGCGTAAGAATGCCCTTACAAAGTTTAACTATTCATCGTCTAACAGATTTAGGCCATTTTCAAATATGCTGAGTTGTTTATTAAACGCAAAATCCCATTTGCAACAATTTTTGGTAATCATGATGATGAGGGATCTTTACCACGAGCTCAACAGATGGCATTGATCGAGTCTTTGCCGTACTCATTATCAGAAGCTGGTCCACAAGAACTCGAAGGGGTAGGAAACTACATGGTTGAAGTTCTTGCCCAGGGTGGCTCCAAGCATTCTGCTTTGACAATTTACTTGTTGGATACACATTCTTATTCACCAGATGAGAGATCATTTAAGGGGTATGATTGGCTGAAAAAGAACCAGATTGATTGGTTCAAGCAAACTGCTTCAAGTCTGAAAAAATCCCACGAAGGATATTCTCATATTCATATGGATCTGGCCTTTATCCATATACCGCTTCCTGAGTATAGGGATGATACCCTTTATAAGGAGGGTGCGTGGAGAGAAGGCGTCACTGCTCCTGGGTTTAATTCTGGATTCCGAGATGCGCTTGTAGAACAGGGTGTCGTAATGGTTAGCTGTGGACAGTAAGTATCAAATCCCCTGCCTACTAGACTGTGCTGATTAGACATTCAGTGATCATGCAATGAATACTGCTCTCTTTCTCGAAAGGAGGATGAAAGTCCTGCTCTTTGGATGTGTTATGGTGGTGGTGCAGGATTTGGAGGTTATGGAGGGTATGGAGGCTATCATCGCCGAATCCGTCTTTTCGAAATCGATATGAATGAGGCTAAGATAGTTACCTACAAACGCCTCGAGTATGGAGATACAGAGAAGCGAATCGATGAACAGATCATAGTTGAAGGGGGAAAACCGGTAGCTCCATCTACATGATACATATGGGTAATCGGGCATAGGGAACAGGTGTTGGGGAATCAAAATTTTTACATGGAGCATTTTTTTCACAAGGAAACGTCCAGGCATTTGCATTCGGGGTCTTCGCAATCGGGGTTTCCTACTTTTCGTTGTGCGTCAAATGCTTCATTACACTATCCAAGTCAGATAGTGCTTATTGTATGCAGTCGTGTATAAACTATACCATTTCTCTTCTCGCAAAAAGTGCGGCGTGGACTAGGCGATTCCTAATTCGCCCCACGAATACAATTTCCTGTACTTCACTCAATGCCACATTTCATCACATGGATTTCTAGCAAAATTTCCTACAACGGTGTTTACGATCATGTTCATTTTTATCCTCATAAAACCAAGAAAATCATCTCTGACATTTTCTACTCCCAAAGGGATTTATCGAATTCCCGTGTTTTCATACCAGGGTATATTTCTAGCTATATCCAATAACATTCAATATTGAAATCAAAAGTAGATACTTAATTTGATATGGAAGTCGATAATATTCATTAAGAATATATAATATGAATGTGTATGAAGTATGCATCACTGGTACGGGACGTATTTGAAATATCTCGCACACCACTCTCGTCACTAGAACAGGGAAAACATGCAATTCTCATCTTCTCCCTATCAGCTCACCAACGCGATACGAACATCGTTCCACGCTCCTTTGTTTGGCATCTTACACGTTATCACTGTCTTGTCAATTGATAAAGGCGTTCTCTTTTTAGGTTTGGAAAGCTGGAGTGTAATAAAAACGCTATAAGTTTATGTAGATCGTGACCACTAGCGAGCGCACTGATGGAAGGGATACACTCCTCAACCTTTCAAATACTTCCATAAATCCAACATTCAATTGATTCATCTTAGAACACACATCGTCATGCTCAACCTGCTGGAATATACTTTCTCACAATTGGAGAAATATTCAAGTCAGTATTGTGTTCAGTTCTTGTGATGTATCTCTGTTCTATCAGTCCGTGCATCGAGCTCATTCGTCGTAGCTTCCTCAGCTTCTTCCCTCCCTCGAGCCTCCTCGAGCTACCTAGTATCTATTTAGCTCTCGAAGCTATTGTAGTACCCGGCACTTGAGTGAACCTACATCAAGTAGGTACCTCCCACTCACCTCTTTACTTGAATTTTCTTCCACCATTGGAATCTTACTCCCATCACAAATCGATCAACCACTTTATAACGCAAATCAATCTCAAGATGTTAAAACGTCCTGCTGCCGCGGGCATGTCTTCATCCATGGGTCCTGCCAAGAAGCAACGTAGAACGAAGCCGGTTGTCAAAGATTATATGTCACTCAGCAAGGATGATTTGATTTCCAAAAAAAATCATTTGGAAGTTGTGCAGCTTTTGATGGATCTCAGAGGTGCTTATCAACAGCTGCAAGTTGAATATCGAAAAACAAAACAAGATTTGATAGATAAGGAAGATGAGGCTGAAGAATATTCTGAAGAATTTGAAAAGCTGAAATATGAATTACCGGACATAGATCAATTGGAGGTTAAGATTGCCAAAAATGAGAAACTCATCGACATCCTACTCAAGGACAACAAGGATTATAAGGAAACATATTACGATTACAAGAAAGAAAATGACGAGCTTAAGATTCTGAACGAAGAGAATGCTAGGAAGATCACACGGCTCGAGGCGCAAATTGCGAAAGTAGCATCTAAGCCAAGAAAGAATACTGCTGCTGCAAAACGAAATTCTTTCGATGTAAGACAGCAGGCAGAACAAATACAGGAAGTTATGCGCAGTGCTATTAGAGCACAAATCAAATAGGCGTATGTGTTGAAATCCTCTATCTTCTAACCTTCCTAGTTTTTTCCCCTCTTAATATCACTCCCATCATTGTCTATATCTTCTAAATTTCCTTCTCATGCAACAAAATTTCATCATATATTGTCTTTTATGACGTCGAGCCTGCAGAAACTAAACTGACTCTCATTTCTATCAGACCAGGTCGCAAGACTTTCGTAAAACGCTGGTCTTATACTTGCATAGTTCCATCTGCAGATGTCTTCTATACTCTTTTTAATATGGACACTGCGGCGGAGCTGGGAGCAAAGAAACAGTGGAAGCAAAAGAAGATTAATATAGATGACTTCAGAGATATCGTTGGTCGCTGCTATGTTTTTAAGGTAGGTTTTCTTTTCTATCACACTTCATGTCATTTGGTCTTTGATGGTAGCATAAGGAATAGAATGTTGGATTCACATTCTGGGGGCATCAAATATATTGAGGTTCCGATCAAATACTAACAACGAATTCTAGGTTGGATACCCCCCCTTGGAGCCAGTTGGCAAAGATGTCATTTTGAGATGGGATGCTGGAGGAAATAGCATTACTGTGAGTGGGAAATACGGTGTTCCAGGCATGGCCTGCCCAGAGTGAACTTCTAGTCTCTAGATTCTCTTGGTTTTTTTTAATGCTGAGGGAGGGCGGATGTCACTGGAAACTTTGATTGGTTTATGCAGATCGTAAGCTCGGATTTGTGTTATACGTTTCAAGTTATTATAAATGTTACTATGATTGTAAGAATAGAAAGAACGCACTTTCTGAAGACTGTTGCTTGGTACTATGTACACGATATTTCAGCAATTTTTGAGCAACTCATTATCTGAGGGGAAACGTTCCTGAAACTTGGTGTTGAAATAATCAAGTTCAAATTCAGTTAAAATTACACCATTAGACGCTCAGGGTTTAAAGACATGTCGACATTACCCATCTTAGTTTCCATCCGGTATTAATACCATTGCTCCCCATTTCCTGAGGCTTGTCTAGACTTTTTGATAACTCCCGAGGTCCTCAACTTCAATTCTTCAGATTAAAAGATATATTTGAACCTTACAAGTTAGTTTGACTACCTACTCACGATAAGAAATCGGTAGATGAGGATAACGATTTAAAAATTATAACAGTTATATACTATAAGAACACAATCCATCATTCGATATATATTGCTATCTATCTGTATCTCACTTATTTTTCATTCCAATGGAAAGAACATCAATGATCTCTTTTACTCATTCACCTCTAATGCTACAACTCTGGATAAGTCAAGCTATATATGTACAATCGTGTCTTCTTTAGTGGATATATATACCTAATATCGTAAAGCCCATCACGTCTCCAATAATCAATAATAAGGTTGAGAAATGATGAAGTGGAAGTGATAGTTCTGCAGGTAAGCAAGATGAGAAGTCGATATGCTTTATAGTATTGAATGTGGAATGATTAATATGAATACTGTTAATTCTTACCATTCTTTCATAGTGTAGAATATAAGTGGGTTAGATGGTTCCTCGCATGCGTGAATTCGTTCTTTGGAAAGGTTCTGTATGCTATGGGTACTGATGTTACCGCCGATATTCAAGTTATCTGTTGAGTAGCTGAGATGTCCGGTGACTTGCGATACACATGAGATCTCAGATCTCGGATCTCATATGATAGACGAATAATGAAAGACTGCACAAACCTATGGTTATGGCTTGGAGATACGGTCTAGGAAAGCTTTAGAATCCATATCCAAGACTGGTTAAATCCCACTTCAGTTACCAACCGGACGGTTTGTACTTTTTTCTTAACTCGCAGTTCTGTTTGATACGATGGTGTTATATAAAGGAGATACATTTGCTGACCTACTTGTAAATGCTATGGAGTGGAGTATACCAAAAGTTCAATAGTTCCCGGCACGAAGATGACTTTTAGTCATAAGTTGCTGTACAGTGATATATCAAGAGATATGACTGTTTTTGATGGCATGGTTTTCACTGTGTTTAAAGACTCCCAAAACGGCGGTATCATACAGTCTGAGACGACTCGTCCAGTATTGAGCGGGATGAAGTGTTAAGTATCATCTCTGTATCTGGTATCTGCGGTGGTAGTTTAGTGTTCAAGAATAATGATGCAACTTCGCTCAGTATTATTATTATTATTATTATTATTAGTAATTTTCAACCGGGCCGTATAGGCGAGCCTCCCAGGGGGCATTACGGTTGGGCTAACTGCGGGATAATCTCTAATTTACATAATCCCCCTCTTCTAAAAATGAGATCTCAATACCCTCAGTAGCTTTCCAAGCGATAGCTAGCACGTTTACACTTTTGTCTCCGATCCTCTGAGTGCCTCCGTGCGTGCTTTCCGATCTTTTATATAATGTTTTGATTGAGAGCTGCTTTATCCTGTAAGGATAGCTTTTGTATGTGTTTTAGTATAGTACAGTGTATTGCGTATATCGATTTTGTTCTTTATAGCCTTACTATATCAATCGCCTCCTATTCTGTATTTGTGTTCATCCGAATCGGTCAATCCATTTCCATTTCCTCTTCCTATTCTTCTGGTAGCGTTTTAGAATATATGCTTTTGTAGAAGTCTATTATAACAATAAATTCAGTAAACTTGGTTAATATATGCATTAACTATTTCAATAATTGTTCTTGAGTTGTCCAATTACGGGGTGGGTATTTGAGCCTGATATCTAGGGATCAGATTTTGTAGGTTGCAAGAACTTTATAGCAATACACGATATACTCGAGGGATTTGTATGCGCTATATGAATAATGGATTATTACTTTCTCGTGTTTAAATTGTTGATGATAGTTTTCGAAATCGCTATATACTAAGTGAATCGCTAGTATGCAGTGAAAAATAGCTTGTAAGAGTTCTAGTTTATTAAGATATTTATTTGTATTCCTTAGATTCCATTTCTGGTACTATTTGGAGAGTATTGGTTTCTATTTGATCCACTATATCTATACTGCCGATTCCATAGTAGTTTTTGCTATAAAGCGGATACCGCTTGCTATAGATCGATTTGCATACCCTAAGGCTGATTTTCTTATCCCTTTATCAACAAATGCATCCGTATGCTCATTCCCTTCGATCCCTATATGACCTAGCAACCATTTGATCTGGATTGAGTACGTTTACATCAGTTTGTAACATTTGAGGAAAGCCCACTATGATGTAATAAAGGCTGTACCTCTCATTCCCTATATCACCAATATACTATCGATACACATACAGATTTCCATTTGTTTTATACCAATAATATTTCTGATCACTACTTAGAGGCCTTGATATACCCCGATTGCTTCCATATCGAATATATAAGAATTGTGATGCAATCCACCGTTTCCTTTGTATACTATTATTTGTCCTTTATATACAACATATCCATATCCTACTCGCCTACTATCCTTATCGGTCTGTTCCGATCTATCAGAGAATATAGTGATCTGATCATATATACACTTGTTCCATCATTCCTGAAACTACTCTGCCACTACCTCTTTCGTAAGGTCTCTAATAGGATCCGTTCGATACCCTAATATATAATGGGGCCCTACTAAAGTCGTCTCCTTGATTCGAGAAAGGTACTGACTGATTACCTAAACCTTTGTTCTGGCTGGCTGCAATTAGCCTTCCCTGCTGTCGAAGGAGTAGATAGCTCTTATTCCTCAATGATAAAGAGGGTGTTTTGGATCAATAGTTTGGATACAAAAGGCTACTCTCCATTTTATTTGTTCTAGTGCTACTTCTGCTGGTGGGAGAGCGCTGTCCCTCATTATCACTGTATTCGGAGTTGTTCATCAGACTGGGAGGACTCCTCTGATCGCTATTCGTAGGATCTTGTTGATAGCTAGCAGAAATGAATTATATTATAACTACTTTCTAGAATATCTTATAATACAAAGTAGGTTCACTACACCTACAAACACTTTCCCGGCTTACTTGTGATAAAACTACTAATACTAGGCCTCTATAGAATCTTCTAACTATATTAAACCACTTATTGTGTAATTATCTTCGAAAGTTCCGGCTAGAACCAAAACCATTCCTCTATATTTTCATTCCTATTTGTTCCTTAAGCCTATCTAATACCTTCATCATGCCCTTTGCTCTATAATATTCGATTATAGATCGACACACGCATCCATCCTCTCGAGCTATATAAATAGTATCATTATCACTATTATTATATACTATACCTCGCAGCTAATAGTTGTTTCACATTATCTTACCGAATCTCTCCTATACAACAAAACCGACTATATCTCGCAGGCTTATTATTTCAGATCCCTAGCCAAACAGTCTTTCTATAATGTTTCCAATTTACTAATCAAAACTCTGCTTATAGAATCCACTCCCTTAATATATAATTTGTAATCGAAAATAAAGCGCTAGAAGCACATTACATATATATATTATAGGATTGGCCTCTGCCTGAGATCCTTTGTCGCCGTAATACCGATCGAGTATTATCGAGTATAGCTTATTAAAAGCATTCTTCTTATACCGGAGCTCCTCCACCGCCATACCGCTCCCACACATTTGGAGATAAGGTACTAAAAACATTCCTTCTTCTACTCCATATATACTCCCGTTGACCTCAGTAAATACTATCCTAGTCTTTATATACTTTCTATTACTCCCCTTATTATTTATAAATATCCAATTCAGTATACTCATAGATTATATGTATTGTTGAATTGTGAAAACTCTGCACGCTAATGCTCCAGAAATGTTCTGTTGATTTTCATTTGTCAAGTTGAGGATATCGGCTCTGTTCCTAATATAGGCTTCAGTCAGACTCAACTATATTATAAAAACTTCATTATCTGCTATTTCAAGAGCTAATTCCACTTTGCAAATACTCTACTGCAACATATTCTAGCTCTGCTCCTCATACAGATTTGTAAAGATATGGTTTTATATCAATCCTGCTCTTATCTCCTTTCTATTATCAAATAGTTTTCATCTCCGTTATACTAATAATCCTCTATTCCGAGCATCTTCGCAATCACTCTCTGGTAATCAGCTGCATATACCTTTGCTTTTAATACGGCCTCCGATTAGTGTACAATCATCACCCAGCTCCAGCTGACTCTACTTAACTCTCCAATCGCACGATCGAAGATTCGTAGGATACACCACATACAGGTGAGAGTCATCGTATCCCAACTTCGCTCAGTATCCAACCCAAATTTATCTATCAAAATAATATGTAAGATGGTTCTTAGCCATGAGATTGTGGGTGTGATAATCAAAGCCGGGCCCGAGGTTCAAAATCTCGAGAATAGTGAACGTGTAGCATTGGGGCCTATTGAAGACCTTGTGGAAGATGTAAATAGTGTGCTTGTGGGGCAGATATTTTTTGTCCGGAGAGAAGAATGTATAGTCGTTCGGACTTGTAACGGGGGAGTTTGGCAAATGGGATTGTGAAGATGGAGGGTCGAATATTTGAGGTTCTAGAAGAGCTTTCTGATGAGCAAGACGTTTCGCTAATGGTATATTAGGTTCCATTAGCATTTTGCTTCAAGTATAGGCGTTGAAGTACTTGCCTTCTCAGCCACCGAATGCATAGAATCTGATCCTATCCTTTTCGGTATCAGTGCCAAATTCAACATAACACCTCAACAGCTAGAAGCTTCAATATTTATGGGTCACTTGATATACTCATTATAACTACTCCCACCCTTCTAGACTGGAGTATCTACCTCCCATTCCCACCACCAAAAGCGCAGATCTTCACTCTCGCGATTGGGCCTGAAATCTTATGCTTCCTAACATGCTGCTATTTTTGAATAGTATTGAGATGCAGAGAAGTGTGTTGGCGCCTTCGAATGCGCAAAGAAGAATGCTGGCTTTTGCCGCGGCGAATGGGTGAATTCTAGGGTGCGGAAGTTCGTGATGACTCGGGAGGGTATTGGAGGGCTGCTTGGGGTATTGAAGAGGAGTAGATGAGTTATTGGAAGGTTGTTTGAATAGGTTTTAGATCTTTCGAAAGATATTGGAAATTTGAATAGGATTGATACTGAAGAAGTCTCTTGAGAAGAAGGATTTCTCTAGATGTCGCGCTCGGTTAATTAGTTGATTGAAAAGATTAGTGCTATTCCTGCTCTCGTTTGATATGATATACTGTTGGATCTCTCTGTACTTGCTTTAGATGTGATATGTTAATGTTGCCGCGCCTTTCTCCTAAATGATATTTCCCATTCTCATCCGCAATCTGCAACAAACTTGAAATTCTGTAGTCTCTAATTATTGCCCAGGCTCCATCACGTCTTATATACTGAGAAACATATCGATTAGACGATTTATTGAGTAAAAGGCCTGACGATAAGAAGATCTTATATTCCCCTAGACCTCTACCACTATCGCCTTTTGTAACGGTCGATATAGCACCTCGTGTGACTATACTCTGCATACAGTTTGAAGATGTTCACTTGAAGAATCTAAAGTGGTAGACTGAGCCGGTATAGATGTAGAGGATGGAAAACCGGTATAGATGTAGAGGAGGGTGCTGAAACTGCTAGAGAGACAAAGGGGATGTTGATGAGAAGACTGGGTATGGATCGTTCTGGTAATGAGTCTTCGATGAAGAATTCCGGCGCAAAACAAGGCTGCGAAAACGACGCTGGAGAAAAGATTAAAGAAAATGCAGGAATAGAGAGAGAGAGGTCGATAGCTGCGGGTTCGATCCTGTTTGGGTCGATAGGATGGGTGTGGATACGAGATGTGCGGCTATCGAGGGCTTTGTGAGATTGGAATGGAGCCTGATATTAAAGTTACGATTGCAGTCATGAGAAGGTGGGGTAAAGTTTTTCATGGGATGATTTTTCGAAGTAGTAGACGTTAGGTTTCATGGTTTGGTTGGGCAATGACAGGGATGAGTGGAATGAGAAAGTTTCCAGTATCAAATGTGGAAGGAGCGTACAGTAATGGAATCTAGAAGGAGTGATAAAGTGATGGAGCCGTGATTAGAAGCTTCATGTACCTAGATATATATATAACTACTACTTCCTGCTTAGCATTAATTGTTCAACAGTCAAAGCATCACATGAATATCACAAGATCAAAGCGTCACTTTTAGCGAAATATCAATCATCCATCCATGAAGGGGGAATACTTTTGCGAGAAGATCGTCTACGAATGCATTCGACACATTTCTTATCTACTGAATAGAAATTTCTCGATGTGTACTATCCCCTTCAACCCCCACCGAAGCTTGGATTTGGCCGGATCTGGAAACCTCAATCGCAGAGATAAACTTAGATTTTCGCGAATATGCCAATTCAAAAGGGAATTCCTATGCGTATATATTTAGCTCCTGTGTACTCTTCCATTCTTTTTATATCATTCGTATCATCATGACAGCAAGAAAGATTCGTTTCAATCATACAATCATAGGTGAGATACATTGTATTGTCATTCTAGAAGATTTGAAACTCAACAATCCAGTAACTTCCAACCACCATCACAAAAGCAACCATGACAACCATTCGACTTCAGACCAAGGCGATGAAGGCCACACGGGCCAGAAATGAGAGAGCTCGACGCCGTAACCCAGCCTCTATTCAAGCTGCTTTCGCTGGTGGTAGACGAAGGATTAGCGCTCATCGAGCCCATTGTTTCGCAGCATTCAAGCGAAAGACCTAATAGAAGAACACAAACAGAGACACCATTGGAAAGAGAGCTCCAGGGCCTCGAGAACGAGACTACTGCCGTAAAATCTTCTAATGGACATGCAGCTGACGACAATTCTTCTCCTTCTACTTTGGCTTACACAGATGAAATGCGAATAGAAGCGCCATCATCGGAAAACATCTTGGAGCAGCTCCCCCCCGCTAAGCTTGCTACACCTTCGATTTCGATACAAGCTGTATTCATCGGTCTATAGTTGAAGTCCACCTCTTCTTCAATCAATACAAACAAAAATGACAACTCCAAATCCAACGAAGATGATGGGGTCGTGAGTCGCATCCGACCTAAGAAAGCTATCGCCGCTACTCAAGCTGTTCCCGCCGCCGAACCAAAGAAGTACAAGATCCAAATCCCAGGACCCAAGAAAGCCAATGCTTCAGCTCAAACAATCTCTGTGGCAAAGGTGAAGGTTGAAGAGAATGAGTCTGATGCTGATGATGCTGCCGCTGGTGTTTTCCTGGCCCGAATATCGTCATATAAGCCAACCCGGTTGAGGTTCACTCTGGTAAGCCGGCAGTCATGGTTTGAAGACAAGAGGGGAGATGGAATGGAGATGGAATAGGAGAAGTTATAAAGTGTCGAGGGTGGAATAACACAAATAACTGTACTGTTATGCATCTTGGGAACATACTACAGCGATATCGGAAGAACCATTGGATATATCTATTTGATTCTTCATTATTTGGCCCTGGATCTTTTAAGACGGTCATACAGCTAGATAATCGAATAGATTCATTTTTTCCACTGATATGCGTACTTTTTACATCATGTCTATGATCATTGTGACAGTAAATTGACAATATAATACTACAATATCCAGTTCTGCGCAAGCACTGGATGCCAAATTCCAATATTTGGAATTTTCCAAAGAGCTAGATATAACATAGATGCCCTTCTTCACTAATCTGTGCGCTCTGAAAACAATTTATATGATAATTGTGACAGTAACCTGATGATGGAATATGGAATTATGCGTTTTTTGCACAATTAAATTAATGTCAGTTTTCAATACTTAGAACGAGAAAGTACATGTATATCCCCTTTAATGACTCCTTCCAAGATAATGCAGCACATATGATCTCATGATTTCCTCCTAGACACAGATGGCTTCTGACTAGCGTGTGCCAATTCCTCGCCCAAGACTCTGCAAACTTCACACTAGACTGAGCACGTAATTATTATCGATCAAACTGAATAGTTAAATGTTTTCACTTTTGGAATCTTCCCTCCTTCCCTTCAAAATATCACCATCTCAAGAATCCCATCTCGCTGAAAAGAACGTAATCTAATAACTATTTCGAAACCTCAACAGCTCAATACAAAGGTAAGCTACCAATCGTACAACCTGTGTTTCTCCCACAACAGTTTCGCTCATCTGATTTTTCACAGCACGACATCCAGCCACAAATCGACATCTTTCATCCACTCATTCTCGACAAAACACGAAACAATGGCACGAATCGAACTACCACCACGTCCTAAATTCGTACGGGGAGACCTCATTGCCCGGATAGCGCCCGCTGTAACATCATTCCTAGCTCCAAAGCAAAGGACATCCTCCAAGAGACCTCACAAACGCAGAAAGGGTAAGACTTTGATTACAAGGGCAGTTGACAAACTCGCTGCCGTTCTCAAAAAGCCACAGTCTACAAATCTTGAGAAGGCCGAGGCATGTTGCAAAGTCACGCATGCAAAGAGGAAAGCGTACGAACAGGAAGAAGAGGGCAGAGGAAAATGTGAAGCCGCTGCTGCAAGGAAACTCGAGGCTCGACTTGGCAAGACCTTTCATGAGGACAAAATGAATGAGTACCTTGTCGCAGCGGGAGAAGAACATAATGGGGCGTCTGAAATCTACTGTGGAGTTCCTAACCATCCAGATTTTTTTCAGACGCAATATTTTAAGATAGAGGAATACTGGAATGAATACCCTGCAGGCTGGGTGGGTGCATATATTGTTTACAAGTATGATATGCCAGGTGATCCTATCAGATTTGCGTTGTAAGATGGAACTCCAGTTAAGATTGCACTTTGAGGTGTTTATCATTTTTATACAGGTTAGAGGTCAAAGAGGATCTCTTTCTTGCATTTTGGCAAACATATTTTTCTTGTATATACTAGGATCAATGTAGCGATGAGCGCAGACTTCATGACCATACACTCTATAATGTAATGAATCATTCATACATGATTGCTTTTGTATTTGGTGAAAATTGATCGTCTGTTAACATAACCAATATGTCGGGATATCGATCATGTGATCTAAGAGGGCACTGTATTGCACTAGTGTATGTACTAGCGTATGCACTAGCGCTAGTACTTCTACTATATTAAATACTAGCTTCCTATAGTTAATAATGATCAAGACGAATAATATAATCAATCATATTGATAAGACTGAAATACTTTACACTTTAATCAATATCAAGTTGATATTAATACTAATTAGTGATATTACAAATTAGGGCCTTGGATTCTACTAGAAAACACTAGATATTTAGAAGTAGTATTCAGGATTGGTAGAAATTTTGAAGAGATCACAAAGAAAGATATTATTGTACTAAGTATAGTATACTTTCTCTCCTTATTGTACTAAAGAATATATTCTGAATAATTGTATTAGGAAAACATATTCAAAAGAATTGATTAATCAAATATAACGAATCGATTTTATATCCATCACGCATTCACTTTTGTACTACACATTGTATAAAATAAACCCTTTATTTAAATATCTTTTATATACCCTTTTATACCTCTCATATCTATAATATACCTATAACCTTCGAAATATCTATAATCTATCTATAATCTTTGAAATACCCTTATATATATCCTATTATATTGAATAGCGACAATATTCTGATTACCTCTAAGATCATTAACAAGGAATTATATATGAAAAAGGAAAAGGAGTACTGTAAAGAGTGATTAAGCCTATTAAAGGAACAACAGATTGATAATGGAATTATTGATTTTGATTCTAAGGAGTTTATTAAATATATCAAATTCAAGTACAAGCAATACGACTATAAGAATATCAATAACAACAAACTAGTCGAGGTCTTTTATAATAACTTCAGCATATTCACAAATAGGCAATTCACAAAGATCCACCAGTTGGATACATGAAAACTATGAATAGTATTACATGCCCGAGGGGTATGGATACCAAAATTAGGTGTTGAAGTATTTATAGCTTTATATAACCAATTATATAGATCTATTACAGATGTATAGATAAAAAACCAAGTTCAGGAAGTTCTGAAAGATTATAATCTTAAAGAATTTAAGTTTAGATTCGGAATAATCAATAGATTTATTGACAACAATTTTAAATATAATAAAGATAATCGAAAAGATGATAAAAAGGATAATGAAGGAGGAGATTTTGATAATGACAACAATGGTGATAGTGATAGGAAGGACAATAGAGGTCGATACGATAGGGATAAGAAATTATCGATATATTCTAATATATAATCTCTTATCAGTTTATTGAAATTCTATACCAATAAGAAGAAATATAACGGGAACAATAATAATTTCAATTTCAAACTTTCGATATTCTATAAAATCTCACAACATGCAAAGATACCTATGGATATATAATACAAAGTATTCCCAATTATACTAAAGGATAGTGTGCTCGAATTCTTTTATACCAACTACGAAGTATTACTATCTATATTCAGAGAGCTTTGTATTTATATGTGGAGTAACTTTGAGGGAAAAGAATATCAATGTAATATACTATCTAAATGGAACAATATTACTCTCAAATCAACTAAAAAGGAGTATAAAAATAAGCCACTTAGTAAGTGTCTTATTATCATAATCAAGCAGCTATGTATGCTATAGTATCGATTTGATCCTGCTATGCGGTAAACGTCATATCTACACAATAAGCTTATACTAACATGTAAATATGTTAAGACATGCAACCTAGCTTATTTCAACCCCAAAAAGAAGGTATTTGGTTTAATCAATCAATTGCAACAATCCATTAATATGTGGGAAAGATCGTATAAGGAAAAAGATATAGTGCTATTTACTAACAAAAGATTCCACAGCAATAATAACCGGAATAGTTCAGGTGATTCTAAAGGTTTCAGAAGCAATAATTTCAGAAGCAATAGCTTTAAGGGCAATACCAATAGGTTTCGATAATGATCTAATTCTTTGAATCAACGAAATCGTTACTGGATATACAAGAAAAAGGGATGTCGATCAACAAAGCATTCCCAAAAGGAATAGGATAAAAACCGATGTAAATACCGGGAAAAGATTAAGGATAGTAGTAATAACGTATTTAATAAACACTATAACCAATAGTTGATCGAATACAAGGGAGAAGCTATTGATACAAAATCTAATTCAGAAACCGAAATGAGATAGTTCTTTGCAGATCTTGATATTGATAATACTGAAGAAGAAGTATTTTTTGTTAGTTTAGAACCTATAAATGGCTAAGAGATATTCAATTAGTTGTTAGTCAATACGATATTGCATACATTGATTAGAGACCCTATTAAAGCTATTCTACTGATAGAAAATGTAATAAACATTTTTTACACAAATTATATAAGCAAGAAGTTCTTTGGTATATATATCAATATAGCTTGTATAGGTAAATCTATAGTTGGGATTGGATAATATTATGTATAACAATAGATATGCTTAGTGACGTATAATCTACAAACAGCGAGAACAGCGAATATACACTTTGAGAAGGGGACTACAACATCAATAGATTCATTTCGTATCGATATACCATTTAGATAACACAACAAATTTCGAAGGAAACTTTTTCTTCGAAATACAACCGTTTCGCGATCGCTATAGATCATAGTTACTAAACCAAATCCAGTGCAATTCCTCCCAATTGATTCGAACCAGTAATTGTTGTGATATTGTTATCGATATCCCAAAATACGAAATACACACGAAAATTCGCATAGAAAACTCTTCATTCTGATCTCCAGAATAGAAATACAATTCTCAAAATAAGTTTCTCAAATATATTAAAGGATACTAATATAATAGAAGCTTCTCCCGAAGTCTCTATTATATCTAATACCTATCCTACAATCATATTAGATACTTTTGCATCAAGTCCCTATCTACCTTCTGAAACCTCTATATTCGAAATCTCCAGCCCAACTCTACTAATCAATTTCGAAAAAAGAAATAAAGAAATTAACCTACTTAGTAATCCCTTTCTTATTCAAAATACAAATAATATTATTTATATCTTCAATCAAAACAAAAAACGCAGCCCTATAATACCTTTCGGCAATCAAAACAAATAACCCAGAATCCAAGACAATTCCTCTTCTTCAAAAGAAGCTATCCTAAAAGCAAGAGATCTCATAGTATTAGCTTCAATACTTACTCAATCACATAACAAACAATCCAAGCTTCTAGATTTCCTAGAAATCTTTAGAGAGTATATTGAAAAGGGAAACCTTACTATAATCTCCAAAATCATTACTTCTCAAATCACCTATTTCGAATCAGCTACTCGAAAAATCGAATCCCAAGCTAAAGCTCTAAATACAATTCCTATATCCACTATTATCCCAATATCAAAACCAACATATACAAAAGTTTCAGAAGGAGAATAGAACCTAATCTCCAAAAAAAGCATCAAATCAATCTTTATAAAGGAAAAGATAGATTCAATCCAAAAACGATTTATTCTAATCAAACCAGAAATCTCAAACCCCACTTCCTTCTCCTTTTTAACTATTCGAAACAAAATAAATGAAGCTTTTCAAAAGACTGGAATTAAAGGATCAGTTATTACAGCAGCTACTTTATCCTTCAATAACAATATCATTATTACAATAAACAATCCTTTTATATCACAATTCTTAATAGAAAAGAAAGCTATTTAGAGTAATATTATCAAATTCGAAAGAATTCAAAAGAATCAAGAATAGCATAAAGTCATTATTCACAAAATCCCCATTAAAGAATTCTTAGAAGCAAAGGGAATGGATTTTATCTTAAACGAAATCAAGATCTTCAATCCTGACTTCAAGTCTATAGGAACCCCTTTCTGGCTCACTCCTATTTCGAAAAGAGCTCATCAACAAGAGGGAGCTGTAGTTATTGCTTTTGCTACCAAATTAGAAACGGAATTAGCTATCCGAAAGTAGTTATATATTGCTGGAAGTAGTATAAGAATAGAAAAATTCTACGAATCAAAACCAACTATACAATGCCAGAAGTGTCAAGGGTTTGGACACTAGGATGCTCACTGTAGAAGAAACCCTTTTTGTAGTTTATGTGGAGATAAGTATATTATATCAGTACACTTGTGTATGGTATACAATATTAGAGGAAAATTCTATCAACATTTAGCAGCGAAATGCTCGAATTGTTAAGAAAATCATACAGCAAATTCGAAAACATATGAAATCTATCAGACTATTCAACAAAATCGAATAATACTCTTTAATGAATCATATCAATATTCGAATCCTTCAAATAAATCTCAATCAAAGTTTACAAATTATAGAAAATATTTTACAGATTACAATAGAACTCAATATCAATCTTATTACTATTCAAAAGCCTTGGATTATCAAAAACGGAAATGATTATTCAAATGCTAGATCGATTATACACCCTAATTTTATATAAACACTTCCGAGATTCGATTCCAAATATCGATTACAACATTATTATACACCTCAAAAACCCTTCAATTTACAATCAACCTTTCTTCTGATTCTCCAAGAGATCCTGATATTCAGATTTTCGATTATCAAAATGGAAATAAAGCCTTTCAAATCGTTAATATCTATAATAAAGCTAATCAAGCTAAAGAAAAGGGCTTTACATTTGAAAAAACATCTATACAATTCATCAATTACATAAGAAATTATTCTTATAGGCAATTTCAATTTTTATCATTCATAATGGGATCCTTTTTCGAAGAAAAGCGGAAACACTAATCAATTAGCCGAATGGCTAAAAAATCAGAATCTCACTCTT